CCGCCGCTACCTCTTAGGCTGCGCCCATATAGCCAAACGTGTGGGCAAAGTTTGGCCACGCTATTGGACCATGTGTTCTCCCAGCCGTTGTGGAAGCCATTCGGGGAACACGTCGGGGAGGATGAGGAGAGGGAGGAAAAAGGAGCAGGAGGAGGAGGGGAAGGATGAGGAGATCTCTTGGGAGTCTATTGGGTCATTCTTGGGGCCTCCTGGAAGCTTCCTGGGGGCCTTTTAGAGACCTCTTGGAGCCTTCCACGGGCCGCTTGTGGGCCTCTGGGGGCTTCTTGGGGGCCAATTTGGCTGTGTTGGGGCGTTCCTAGCTCGTCTGACGCCGTCAGAAGCCGTCTTAGGGGCCTCTCTGGGCCGTCTTGGGGCCCTCTTGGGATGCTTCAAGGTTGTATGGGAGACCATCTTGGGCGCCTTGGAGGCATCTTGGGCCGCGCGGCGATCTTCGGGGTTTGTTCGGCTGTCTTGGACCGTCGGAAGACCGAAAAGGTGCAAAAGCCAGAAAACCGTACACACACGTATTGAAAATCATAGTTGTTTGCCTCTTGGGGGGGCTCGTGGAGCTCTCTTTGGACGTCTTGGCGGCCTCGTGGGCAATCTTGAGGCCATTTCCGGCCTTCTTGGTTCCATTGTTCGGCCATATTGAGCTCTCTTGAGGCAGTCTTGGAGGCGTGACCGACAAAGGGGGGATTTTGACGAGCTTTCCGGGTGGCCGGCGGGCTGGGCGGAGACCCCACGGGGAGTTCTTTTAGAAAAGAATCAGTATGTTTGCATGACTATCGGCACGCCGTGGGCCCTTGTGGCACCACAGGGGCCGGCGGATATCTAATGGCATTCGGCCAATCCCGCCACGATGTTTGGGCTGCTGTTCAGAGGCCTCTTGGATGCATATGAGTGTCTCTTGGGATGCCTTTCGGGGAACTCTTTGGGGGCTCTTGGGGGCTTCTGGCGGACCTGTTGGGGGCTTTAGGGCGTCTTAGGGGGCCTCTCGGGGCGTCTTGGGGGACATCGGGAGCGTCGGGGGGGCTCTTCGGGTCATCTTGGGGCGGAAGGCTCGAAATGTCCGTTCCTCTTGGGGTCACCTTGGGTGCCGCTTGGGGCCCTCTTGGGGCGTCTTGGCGCCCTCCTGGGGGTTTGTTGGGCAGTCTTCGGATACTATTGGGGGCCGTCTTGGCCCGTCTAGGAGCGTTGGAAACTGAAAAAGTCGAGAAGGCTGAGATCCTTCGAAAACCTGCTGGATCATCAATGTCAATGTCCTTGGTCTCTCAGGGCTCTCTTGGGGGTCCTCTGGGAGCGCTCTTGGGGGCCTCTGGGGGGCCTCTGGAGACGTCTGAAGAGCACATTAGGCCGTCTCGAGGCCTTCTGGGGCTTTCTCGGGGCGGTCTTTGACCCCCGTGGGGGCTTCTGAGGACGTGCTGCGGGCTCGTCGCGTCGCTGTGGGCGAAGTCGCCCTCCCACAAGCCCACGCGGGGGGGGACCTGCGGGGAGGGCCCTGGCGGCGGAGCGGACCTGCGGGCAGTGCAGGCCAGCGTGAGCGGGAGCCTCAGTGGGCATCGTGGCTCCCGCCACCACCCTAGCGCCCTCCTGTGAGCCGACGCTGGGCTTATTGCTAGAGTTGTGGATGCCACGACAAGGGACACCCTAACAGTCCTATCATTGAATGTAAAATATGCTAAAAATGTTTTAAAAAAGATTATGACCATGTTTTAAACATGTGCTTTACATGTTTGCAATATGTTTTACACATGCTTTGGACATCTGGAATTCATTTGGCAACATGCTTCCTCTCCATTGACCGTCCTCCACAATGCTAGAGCGCGGGTGTTTGCGTGGCGCCTGGGAGCTGGGCGTCATCTGGGTCAGGGGCTGGCCCAGGGGGCTGTCGGGGGAGGGGCTCCCTCACCAGTGCACGCACCATCGCTTGCATGTCAATGGATGTGCAGGCCGAGGCAGGCAGCACGCAAGACAGCACCGAGGCGCAGCGCAAAACAGAGGCACGCACTAATGTTTTTCATGATCGTTCGTTCATGGTTCCTCTTCCTCTGCCTCCTTCTCGCCCTACCCTGCAAATTCTTCCCCATTCTCCTCAGCTCTGTTTTGCGGAGGTGCCTCCTTGGAATGCCTCTTGGGGCCCTCTCGAAAGTTTTTAAGGACTTATTGGGGCCTTCTGGAGGTCTCCTGGGCGCCGTCTGTTGGCCTCTGGGGGCTGCCTCGGGCCACCCTGCTTCCAACCGCGGTTTCCCTGAACGACCCGGTCACGATTTGGAATACTACGGGGGGCGTTTTGGGGCCATCTTGGGCCGTCATGGGGCTCTCTTCGTGCCGTTGGGCCGTCTTGGGGCTCTCTTGGACTGCCTGGAGGCCCTTTTGGGTAGTTGTGGGGCGATTTTCAAACCTCCTCGGCTGTCGCGGATGCCGGGAATACCGAAGAACAGAGGAGCATTCTCCAAATCATGCAAAAACGATTGGAGATTTGTGTTTTCTGCGTTTCGAAAGCTTCTGGAGGGTCTTCTTTGCATCGTTTTCGGCCATTTGGTCGGTGTCTGGGGCCTTTGGGGGCCCCCTGACCGATTTGAGCCCGTTGCTTAGGCCCAGCAGGGGCTTCCAGGAGCCCCCAGGACCTTTTGCAGGAGCGTCCAGGGGGCCCGCGAGGCCACAGATCCGGGGGGTCCCGATTTTCAAGGGGGAGAAGACGGATGTTCCCACTCCCCCCCGGATCCAGCCAAAAATAAGAAAAGGGAACATATGTACATGTCGGCGGTGCCCCGTGGCACGAACCCCCTCCGCCTTCCGGGGTCCTTCGTACCAGGCGCACGGGGTGCCGCCGACGACCTGGAACCCCCCCAGTTCCCCCCTCTCCTCCTTCCAGGGGGCCTTCGTACCCGGCGCGCCAGCGGACCCCCCCCCCCCCTTCGCAGGGTAGTGGGGTAGGGGGCTCCTGTAGGAGTGAAGGGGAGTCTGGAGGAGAGAGGAGTGCCGAAAAGGGCCGAGAAGTGCGATGGAGTGGGGAGGAGTCGGGGGGAGCGGTGAGGAGCACCGAGGAATGCGGAATGGGGAGGAGACTTATGGGGACCTCCAGAAACCTCTTTGGACCGCGGACGTCCAGAACCCTAAAAACTGTTTCCGGGAAACCTCCGTGGGTTCCGGGGGGCTCCAGAGCTCTCTGGTTGGATGTCGTCGTCGCCGCCGCCGCCGCCGACGCCGCCGCCGCCGACGCCGCCGCCGGACGCTCGCACGCGCTCTTGACCGGAAGGTTGGGGGCATCGGGGGGGGTTCGTACCGGCGTCCGCACTGGCGGTGCGTCCCAGGTGGTTCTGTGCATCTTGAGGGCTTTCGTATTGGCCCGCACTGGCGGTGCCTCCAGGACGAAACCCCCGGGATGAGAGATCCCAGGGAGGGGTTGCTCCGCACCAGGCACCGCCGACTTCTACATGCAGAGAGAGAGAGAGAGACACACACGCACACATTTTTGGTCAGCGTCGCAAAGGATCCTCAGGGACGGGCAGCAGATGGAGGTACTGATTGCGTTCGAGCGTTATCGAAGGCACAGTGTACAAAGCGTGCACACTGTCAATGCAGCGATGGGTGGTGTGAAGAAGGAGCTGTAAAGCCAAACGAAACGTGCAGCGGCCAGACAACCGAGGAGGCGACCCAATCCGAAGTAGACTGAAGCGCGAGCAGTACACCCACAGGTGCATATGCATATGCGTGCATGCGCATTTGCATATGATGTGTGCGGGGATCACGTGTTGGACATATCTCCCCTTTGCATGGGCAAGTTTATAGGCAAAGAGCCACTACGAATGTATGCGGCTAGCTAAGCATGCTAGGTTTACTACTTGTATGTGGCTGCTATCGGTGTTCGAATTGTCGGTCGTCAGATGTACCGCTAGCGCTGTTGCCTAAGAGCACTCTATTGCCTAGGAGCGTTCTTGAGCCGTCGCGGACAGTTGGCCCTCCTCTTTGTCGCAGTTTTCGCATTGGAACCGGAGCTGCTACCTTTACCTGAACCAGTTTCGCCCACGCAGGCGGCGTGTTGCTTGTTTGGAGCAGTTCAGAGTTCAGCGTTGGTTTCTGTCATTATCAGGACGCGTCCGACTGCACCGTTCCTAGAGCAGTGGTTTCCGCGTCGCTGCATCCGCCTCGGCGCCGACCCAAACGGTACGAGCTTGGACGATCCTTTCAGGCTACGGCACGGGGGGAGGGGCTGGGACGGGAAGGAGGGCGGAGAAGAGAGAGAGAGAAAGGGAAGCGGAAGGATGAAGCGAGGCAGGCCGCTTTCGCCTATGCGCCAGCTTGCGTCGAGCAGGAGTTCGACCACCGAGTTGTTGTCAGTCAGGCAGGTCGAATAGTGTCGCCCACTGCCTGCGGCGAACCTCACGAAGCGAGCTAAGGTGCTCCTGGTGCCGCGGCTCGCGGCTGAGGGGAGATTGCTCGTCGGGCCCAGCGCCACAAGGGCCTTTGGCGAGGCTGGCGAGCTGTTGGCTGGGGGCGGTGGTTGAGCCAGAGAGCCGGAGACGCTTCTCGCCCCGTTGCATTAGAGCCTTTCCCAGGCCTCTTGCGGGGGAGGGGGCAGAAGATCTGCCATCAGCGTTTCTCTGTGCGGCTCTTTTCAGACGGGATCGACTATACATGTTCTGCCCGACCGCGTGCGTGCGGGGAGCCCCCCGCGCGTTCGCCTCCCCCTCCTTGCCGCCCACTTGGTGGTGGAGCGGCCTGGGTCCAGGTGTGCCGCTGCGTCTGGAGCAGATCTTCGCGGCGCGGACGGAGGAGGCCGTGCCGCTTAGGTGTTAGTGGGAGCCTTCAGGGTGGACGAGGCCGCCAGGCGCTCACAACGTCCACCGATGCGAGCCTGCGCGGGGAGGGGAGGGGGTGGACTGCGGCTTCCGGCGGGCCCTTGGGCGCCGCGCGGCCTCGCAGCGTCCCTGAGCTTGATGCGCCAAGGCAGGGGCAGGCGGCGAGGGGGCGCGCATCCAATTGGACCTGGCACTGGCGCCCTTGCCATCGGTAGAGGTGGTCGGTGCCGTCCGCCTTTGCCTAGTGGGGCGCGCGGAAGGCGAGGGGAGGGTTCAGCCAGTCCCTTCTCGCCCTGGACGGGCCGCGCTTGGTCTCCGCCCATCCCCATCCTGCATGTGAGCGGAGTGCCAGCTGGAGGGTGACGCCGACAGCCTTGCCGCGGAGGCCGCGCGCGATGGCGCCGTAAGCCGCACGGCAACGGCGGACAAGCACAGCCGCTACCCTGTCGGCCGTGCTCCTCATCGCACGGTGCCCCGCGCCCCTGAAACACAGGGGCGGTATGACCCAGCCGCGTTGCGCGTCTGTGCCTGCTCGTGTGGGACTAGGCGCGGCTGCCTGGCGACGACGGCGCCGAGGCCGCCGGCAGTAGCTCGGCGCGCTGCTGGGGCGCAGAGCTAGAGCACTACCGCTCGGCAGCTGCTCATTCTGCGCCGAGGATCGGCACAGCACTGGAAAGGGCGACCCCCCCCATAGAGGAAGCGCAGACATGGATGAAGACGCGTGGGTCAGCGACGGGTCCCGCTTCCGTGGAGAATCGACGCGCGCCGACGCCAAATCAGGCGGCAGCGGCGCCATGGTTCAAGGGGGCACTTTCGCCGAAACGTGGATCTGGCGCCCGCGCGCCAGTTCCACGGATCCCTAATTAGGTCATGTTGGCGTGCGCCCGATCCCAGACCTCCGACGCTGTGTTTTTTCACAACACGAGCACCCAGAGGTATGGGCCCCCCATTCCCAGGGCTAGCTTTTCATCCTGTTTCTCCTTTTGACGTCCTCACCTGGTAAAGGCCCCGGGGGAAGCTCGAAATTTCTTGCAAACAAATCATTTTTGATGAATCAGCTACGCGAGGAGGTCTGGGCTTTCCGTCTGGTTGTCCGCCTGAAACGGATCTCTCTCGCTCTCTCTCTCTCTCTCTCTCTCTCTCGCTGTGGCCCGCGCTCATCGCGTGGGGCGGCCTGAGCTCAGGGCAGCTCTTCTGAAGGTCAGCGGGGGGTCCATACCCGCGTCTAAGACGAATGCGCGCAGCACTAAGGCTAGAGCTCCATTTTGAAAACATTTCCCCTTCAAATTGCTGTAGTTGCTGTCAACGTTGAGGACGAGTGTGCGCGGCGCTAGATATACAGGTCTATTTTGAAAGCGAATTCCCCCCATCCATGCAACAGTTTAGACGTTCAAGCTTCAGGGTCATACATTGTGAGGCAGTATCTAGCGAAATGCTCGGCCCACCTACCCACACGATGTGCGGTCAAACGCGCAGGATTTATCTAGAAGGCGAGGTACGGAGGAGGAAGAGTGGACGAGGAGGAGGACGAGGAGGAGGAGGAAGAGGACGAGGCGAAGGAGGAGGGAGGCCGAGCAGAAGAGGAAGAAGAGGAGGACGCAAGGAGGACGAGAACGGAGGCTGAGCAGAAGAAGAATAATAAGAAAGACTCTGAGATCCGAAGTTGCGAAATAAAACGCAACATCGCGAAGAGATCACGACCGGAGCCCCAGCCCCAATCTTTTTTATTGCTGCATTCTTCGAACCCGATCGATCTGAGATGGCCCCGGGGCCCGAAACTTTGCGAAAGCGCCCGGCGTGAAGAAACTGCAGCGCCTGGGCCTCGGGGGAGGAGGAGCAGCATCCAAGGCGGAGAGCAGGCGAGAGAAGAGGACGGGCGGCCGCCGCGAGGTGCACAGCGACGAGGCGCACTCCACGGACGACGGGCGCCTGGACCACGGTCGCGCGACCCGCTCGAGCGGCTCACGCTCGAGCTCCGTCAGCAGCTCGCGGCGCGGCTCGGCGGCGCGCTCGAGCTCCATCGGCAGCTCCCGGCGCGGGTCGACCCGGCGGGGCGCGGGGCTCTGGCATCGCCAGGGGTCGGCGGCGGGCCGAGGGGGGCAGGGGGAGGGGGGGAGGCTTCTGAGGAGCACCCCCGCTGCTCCGAAGGCGCGGGCCTCATCTGTAGATGTGGGGCCGGCGGCCTCAGAGAAGCAGCCTCCATCCAAGGAGCCTTCCCCCCTCCCCCATATACCCCCTTGTGCGCGCCGCCAAGAATCGCCAAGGGTCGGCGGCGCGCCGAGGGGGGGAAGTCTTTTCTTGTATTCCGACGTGGGCTCGACGCAGCTTCGACGTGCATTCGACACGGGCCCGACACGGCTTCGACAAGCATTCGACCCGCTCGACACGGATTCGATTCGGATTCGACGCGGATCGCGTCGCGATGGTAGAGACAAGATCTTCCGAAGATGCAACACAAGGGAAGTAAGAGGGGCAGGCCTTCTCAGAAGGCGACGGGGCTTCTCGGAGGCTCTCTGTCCTTCCGCGAAGCCCTGGGGTGTCTTCGGAGAAGGCTCAGAGAGCTTCTCAGAAGGTCGGAGGCCTTCTGAGCCTTCCGAGAAGGGCCACCCCAGCTGACTTCCCCCTGGGCGCGCCGCCGAAAGGGAGATCGTCGTCTTTGTCGTTGCAGCCATCGCCGTCGTCCTTGCGAGGGTCGAGCCGTCTGGCGTCCGGAGCGGAGGAGAGATCCACATGGAGGTTGGGCGATCGTGGGCCCGAGGCTTCTGGGGCGGAGGGGGGTTGTCTGGTCCCCCATGTAGGCTTTTCGTCCCCGCGACCGGATCCGCCTCGAAACTCTGGCCTGAACGCACCCCAGGACAGGTGCGGAGGTCGACGTCTGACCCCCCGGCGTCGTGAGAAACAACAAGATTGCCAGATAGTGGCCATTGTCGGCCTCTGGGAGCCTTTGCCACGGGCCGAGGCCTTCCAAACAGTTCGAGTGAGCGAGCGTGGGGGGGATCCAAAAACTCGATTCAAAAACACGGTTCAGGCAGTGCCATTCGGGGCACCACCACCCAGACCTCAGGCGGATAAGTTGTTCTGATCCTGGCGTTTATCATTTTGCTTCGTGGCCACCACCACCCAGGCCTGCTAATCCGGACTGGAGATGCGTCCTTGAGACGACTTGGTGAGGCCGAAGGTCGCCGAGCGCGTTCCACTATCCGCAAAGTCCTACTCGCAATCGTCCGAAAAACATGTGTCCGCCTCGATGTAATGGATCGTAGATCCCCCGCGCCGGATCCAGGCGATTTGCGAGTAGTTACGTTGCGAGGAGTGGAGCGAGCTTGTCTAGAAGGAGAGGGTGGCCGGGGGCAAGGGGGTGAGCGTTCAGCTGTGTCGGCCTCTGGGATGCTGCTTTCGGACCCCAGGGCCTTACGAGGGGGCAAGACTGCTCCCAGTGAAGAGGTCGAGACAGTGCCCCCAGATCGAAACAAATACAAGTCGTCGGACGTCTGGGACCCGCCACCTCCTCTCGAGGATCGAGGATCGAGGCGGGGGGGAGATCGAGAATCGCACAGGCTTATGGGCGTCTCTGGGCGCTCTGAGTGTATTCGTTTGGAGCGGGTTCAAGTCGGGAGAACCCATCGTGGTTTTGGTCGATCCCCGCATTTTTCTGCGCTTCTGGCCTCTGGGGGCCTCAGCGGGCTTTTTGGGCAACCGACGGCATTGGGCGAAAAGCCGTTCCTGGGGAGGAGGGGGTCGGGAGCCTTGGGGGGCATTGATTGAAGGAATCACTTCGTCGTAGGTGTGGGATCGGGGTCTGCTTGTTTTCTGGTTAATTCGGGGCCTCTGGCAGCGCCCTCGTCACCACCGCTAGATTCGCCTCGAGATTCAGGGCAGAGCGCAACAGGGGGACGAGGAGGAGGAGGAAGGGCAAAAAAGGGGAAGGAAGTGAGCGAGGCAGCGAGGAAGGGAGGAGGGGAAGCCAGGAAGTACGAGTATCGGTGTCCTTTGCAACATTGGTATCCCCCTCTGTCTTAGGTTGTTCTCGTCACAAGACGGGCCCCTCCCTCCCTGGTAGGCGGACTGGGGCACGACGCCAGCGCACAAGGCCACAGGGAGTTGAGGAAAGAAGGCGACTCCTCGCCAGCAAGACTTCTGCCTGCGCACAGAGAGACTCTCGGAGGCAGTCCAGGCTGACTCCAGGCTGACCTCCACAGGCCCTCGGGGTGTCCCCTGCTGGTCACGGTTCGGTCTCGAATGTCCTGACCTCTCCGCCAGCGTTTTGATGGCGCACCACCAGACAATACTGCCATGGTGATGGATGGACCCGAGGAAGGTGCCCCATGCTGGTCTCAGCACACCTGCACCGCCTTTGGCAAGACGCTCGGCGATTCCCCCCCCAATGGCTGCTGTGTTCGCACCGCCCTGGACCATCACTGGGGCCTGCTGAGTCCCAGCGGGGCTGCCTCTGGGCGCGGGTTGTGCGCAACCCAGAGCCACGGAAGGTTTCGGACGGCTCTTCCTCCAGAAGGTCCGCCGAGGCCTTCGAGTGCGTCTCGGGAGAATTCGGAAGATCTCTGCGCTTCTCGGAGCTTTCTATAAGTTCTCGGCTATCCGCATAGGATCGTAGAGGTTTCCCGGGAGGGTGGGGGAAGCGGAAAGAGGAAGAAAGAAACGAGGAGGGGGGTGGAGGACGAGGGGAAGATGCAAAAAGAGTGAGCTCAGGATTCGGAAATCTTGAAACCTAGATTGCAGTCTTCTGGTGAACTCTGGAAGGAGAGGGGGAGGAGGTATGTTTTGCTTCTGGCCTGGATCCTTCCGAAAAGCAGCAGGAACACCCGCACAGCCTCACTAAAACATGCAGAAGCATCGATCCTTACGTAGGGGGTCGAAGTCAAGACGCAGCGGCGCGGGAAGGGGGCGGGGGGGGGCGGGGGCTGCTGCGGGGGAGGGGGGATGGGGGCGAGCCTAGCTCGGGCGCCCCGTGGTGGCCGCACCGCGTGGTGAGTCGGTGGGGATTCTGGGTGACCGCACGGCTTTGGGACTTGGGGGGTCGTTCTCCGAGGATGTCTCGGGCGACGGAGCCGCCCGAGGTTCCAAGCCCGTGCGGCGACGGACCGCGCGGTGAGGCCTCGAGGGACTTGAACGTCACCGCCGGGTCTGTCACCGCACCGCTTTGGGGCCCCCAGCTCGCTGGATTCCGGGGACGACGAAGGCAGGGACGGGGCTTGCGGGCTGCCGCGGGGGGAGGGCGGGAGGGACGGAGGGAGGAAGTGGCAGGGAAAGAGAGGGAGGCAGGGGGGAAGGGGGGAAGAGGGAGGGAGGGTGGGAGGGACGAAGGAAGGGAGGGGGGGAGGAAAGGAGCGAGGGTGAAAGGGAGGAAGGGAAAAGGAGGGGGGTAGTGGAGTGAAGGGGCGAGGAAGGGAGGAAGGAAGGGATGAAGGCGGAGGGAAGGGGGGGGGGGGAAGCACAGAGGTGAGAGGGAGGGAGGGAAGGGAGAGGGGGGAAGGGAGAGAGAGGGATGAAGGCAGCGAGGAGGGGAGGATGGAAGCCAAGAGGTGCGAGCATTAGCGTCCCTGCGGCGTCGGTCTGCCTCACCATCTCCCGCCATCCTCGTCACGAGGTGTGGCTCTCCGTCTCCCTCGCGAGCGGGCCTGGGCACACATACGCTAGGAAAGGGTGCCGGAGGGAAGGAGTGCAGGGGGGTCCTCGTCTTCCGCCTCGTACTCTTGCCCCCATTCCCCCTCTACGGTCGGGAACTTGTGCTCAGCGCGTCGCGCCACCCGTTCTGGCCCATAACTTTTCGGCGCGGCCACGTCCCCATTCCCAAGCGTCAACGTCGCGAGCCCTCCTTGGCCTCCCGCCCCTCGTAGCGGAGCCACACGCTATCAGCTTGCAGGGCTTGTCGCGTCGCCGGGGCCGCCGCGAAATGCCAAGCACAAGTTCTTGACCGTGCCCTATCCTGAAGTCCTGAAGCAAGAATATGTGCATCCCCTCTCAGACGTGGCGTGCCCAGAAGCCGCGAATGGTGGGTGTGCACAGGGTGGTATCCTTCCCGTGGGACGGCACCATGACACAGAGCGACGACGAGGAGGACGGCGACAAGGAGGGCTGGGATGGGATAGGAGCGGCATGGCTAGTTTCAGAAGGGACATTCCTGTCGAGCGAATATACCGTTGGCCTTACCCATTAGGCTGTCTGTTTTCCCGGGTTCTCGACGGGCAAGACAGTGCTGCCGCACCACCTCTAGCGCTAAGTATGAGATTCCAATCACGATACATACTTATTCCAAATCGGATTTCGTGGCGAGCCCGTGTGGAAGTAAAACGAGGATGACTCCGCCGGAAGAAACAAGAGCAGACCCCAGAGATAGGTGCACGCCAGTATGAGGTCCTCGAGAGATCCAGAGTGGGGAAGAGGGCGCGGCGAGATGCAGGAGGCCTGTTGTAGAGGCGTCCGGCCTGTGCCGCCGATCCGGGACGCTCTGGGACGCTCCGTGCGAACGCGTCTTGTTTGTTATTTTGTCAGCTTTGCCTCGAAGAGGCAGAAGAGAGGATGAGGAGGAGGAGGAGGAGGAGGAGGAGGAGGAGGAGAAGGAGGAGGGGGAGGAGGAGGAGGGGAAGGAGGAGGAGGAGGAGGAGAAGGAGGGCGAGGGAAAGGATGGTGTTGGCAGTCGCCTTAGGCAGTCTGTGTTGAATGGAATGTTTGCGCCGTGTTTGCCGGGCTAGTGCTCTGACGCTGGGCATGGGAGTTCCGGCCCTGGCCCTGGTTTCGGCCCCAGCCCCCAGCCCTGGCCCCGGCCCCGGCCATAGCTCCGGTCCCAGCCCTGGCCCAGGGCCAAGTTCCTGGGCCCAGACCCTGGTTCCCAGCCAGTCTTGGCCTCTACCCCAGTCCCAAATTCCTGGCATTTGGCCCCAGTCCCCGGCCCGTGGCCCCAGCCCCGGCCCCGACCCCAGTTCTTGGTACCTGGCACCTCGCCCCGTTCCTGGCCCTGGCCACGGCCCCGACCCCGGTGCCGGCTCTGGCCCCAGCCCTGGCCCCAGCCCCCGACCCCGGCCCACCGGCCCGGGCCTTGGCCCTGGCCCTCTCCCTGCCCCAGCCCTCGGGAAATTTGCATAATCCCCCACACACACACTTGCAGAGCCCCCCGGCAACCCCGTCAGCTGAACTGAAGTTCAGGCTGCTGCTTTTTCAACTGCACACGGCAGATCGGCGGATAATATTTTGCATTGTCCGCGAATTCCTTCTTCATCCCCCATCTTGCCTATCCAATCCTCTTTCCCTGCTTGTTCACCGTCCTCTCCCCCTCCTCCTCCTCGTCCTCCTCCTCCTCCTCCTCCTCCTCCTCCTCCTCCTCCTCCTCCTCCTCTTCCTCCTCCTCCTCTTCTTCCTCCTCCTCCTCCTCCTCCGCCTCCTTTTCCTCCTCCTCCTCCTCCTCCTCCTCGTCCTCCTCCTCCTCGTCTCCCTCCTCCTCCTCCTCCTCCTCCTCCTCCTCCTCCTCCTCCTCCTCCTCCTCCTCCTCCTCCTCCTCCTCCTCCTCCTCCTCTTCCTCCTAGTCTGCCTGGTGCTCCAGAGCGCCGTCGCCGCCCCCGCTGAGCCGAGTGAGCTGGGTCGCGGCACCGTTTTCCTCGGGCTCGGCCACCAGTTCGCCCACCGCGTGCGCCCGCGCATGGCCTGCGTCCATGCCGTGGTGTTGGCCACGCAGCTTTTCCATATCCTGAAGTGGCGGGCTGATTGCAGCCGCTGCTGTCGCCGCCGCCCGCGTAGCAGCCATGCATCGCTTACAGGCCTAGTGGAGCTCCGCCCGCACCTGCTGCGCCGAGCGTCGTGCTCTCCTCCTCCTCCTCCTTTTCCTCGTCCTCCGTAGCCATTTTGGCTCAAGGCCAAAAATGCTCCCCTCGAACTGCCTCAACGGGGTAGGCTCCCATTCGATTCCCGTCCTTTCAGGACCTCCTGTGCCTGGCGCTGGGCAACCTCTTGGACTCCTCCGACACAGATGGAGCTCGGCGCAACGCCAGCAGATGTGGAGGTGCTGACGGTTCTCCGCGTGAAGAGCCTGCTCGACGACAACGTCGGCCCCAGGACTACGACCGCAAGCACCAGCGTTCACAACAACAGTCTCGTGAAGAACGACGAGGTGGTGCAGGGCGTCCTGGGGGGCCCCATGCGCGACCTGGTGGCGCCACCGCTCCTCCCCCGTTTCCTGTCCATCTTCCTTCGCAAGACTCGTTCCTCGCTGCCCACGACGCCGCCGCCACATTCCCCTCACAGGAGCGCGTCGAGGATCCCCTGGCGCGCGCTGACCCGTGGCAAGGGCGGCATGCAGATCGACCACCTGTTCAAGAACAGCTTCACCCTGGCACCGCGGCAACTGGATCGGCGCCTTCCGCAGCAGCTGGTGGCTTCGAGGCACTCACCAAAGCCCTGCCGGACCAGCTCACGGCCCACGTCGACACTACAATCGCCAACTTCACAGTGGATACAGCCCGCACTGTGGCCAAGGCCACCCATGACTCCCAGACGCTCCTCTCCAGGCGCATCGATGGCACCGAGGGCGAGATTGCATGTTTGCGACAGCGCATCTCGGCATCTGAGAGGGCCCAGGACGAGACGAAGCAGGCTGTCGCTGACATACAAAGCGCTCCCGCTTTGGCTGAAGCTCAGGCGCCCATCGCCGACCGGGTCGCGGAGGCAGATCTCGACAGAGTTTCCGAACCCGCCGTCTTCACAGTTGGTTGCGCCGAGCTTGCTTCCCCAGCTCAAGTTCAACAGGGGCTCGCTGCGCGGTTTTCTGATTCAGGTGCGGACTGGTCCAACGCCACCCTCGCGCGGGGCATTCCCGCCAAGAGCAAGGGGTTCGTCGTTCGACTTCTCGGGGGCCCCGCTCTGGCTCTCACGGTTCCTCGAGCCGCCACTCTCGCCCGAGGCCTTCGCTTCGAGCACAAGGAGGCGCTTGGAGACAATTCCAGACGCGCGCAGTCACAGGCCAGGCTCTTCAATTCTACGCCAGCGCAGACCGTTGCCCTCGGCAGATTCGGCGGGAGATTCAGACACGCCGGTTTCATCGGCTTCTCTCAGGCGCATTACCCAACGTAAATCTTTGCCCCTACAAGCAGAAGGGGCGCAGTACCAGTGGCGGCGTCCCGCTCGCACGGTCGGAGGTTGGCACCACTGCCACAGCCAGGACCAAGCTGGTCTGGAACCTCCATCTCACACGAGATCTACAAGTCGACACAGCTGCCATCACCAACCCGAACTTGACCCAGGTGTTCAAGACGACGACAGCTACATTGGGCCTCTTCTCCACAGTTACTCCGCATTGGACTCCATCTGCTGGCCGGCGCTAGTTCAGCGACATCCGATTTGGCGGGCACGCCACGGAGACCAAGTCACACCGGATCTTGCTGCCCAGCTTGCATGTGATAGGCCTCATCTCGGAACATTGACTTCCCAGCATTATTTGCAATGATGCGCAGGTGGACGACTTTGCGCAATGGATCGACCGGCACGTTCCGCTTGTACTTCGCCCATGCGGATGATGACTCATACGCCACCATCACTCAGAGCTTCGCAGGGAACACGCGCAGAATGGCACGGCAAGAGGTAGCGGTGGATCGGGATGCGCACCGATTGTTTGTCGCCATTGAGATCGTCAGCAATCCTCGGCGCCAGCATGAACTTACCCATCGTCGCCAGCTTATGAAAGGCTCCGAGGGCGGAGTGGCCCGAATCACCTTCGCGACTTCGGTCTCCCCCCATTTTGGAGGACGGACATTTAGGGGCAATCCAGAGCCACTTAGCAGACGCCTCGACGATCCAAATCTCAGCTCGCTCGCCAGCACTTGGCCTGGTTGCCCCCGCAGCCGCCGATGCGACAAGCCCCACCATGCCCGAATATTTGCCAAATGCCGGGGGCGCAATGGCGCCGCACCCGTGCACCGCCTCTGCGGCCACGGCAAGGCCCCTACATCAGCGCAGAGTTCCCCCGCGACCTGCACGGCGAAACGACGCGGACCGTCCTCTACAGCGACCCGTCGACCAATTGGCTCACCAGGCCCCACATCACGCTTATCAGGCGCGGGTTCGGCTACTCCACGGGGCTCGATTTCCCAAGCACCTCGTCTACAAGATCCCCCAGACACCCCCAGAGGGAACTGGCAAGCTCTACACCTATAGCTTTGTCTCTTCACCCCCCAGCGCAGGCGACAGCTGCACCCAAATGTCTCTCCCTGCCGCAAGGATGGGCTTGGGGGGGCAGCCCAGCGACGCCCCAGCGCCAGTTCTCCACCAACCGCGACTCCTGCCCGCAGTTCTACGCCCGCTACCCCCTCATCGTCGACGCCCGCAGCCTCAGCTCCGTCGCCATCGTCGCCCACGCGAAGGCCAAATCTTTGTCTATCAGCGACATTACCTTCTGGCACGATCTCGTGGACATCCCCTGGACCTCGGCGACCCTCGGTTCTCGCGTTGTCTCCAGCCTCTTCTTCGCAGATCACTGTTTCATCGCGCGTTGCAAGCGGGCAGGGTACACTCACTTGAATACGTTTAACGTTCAAGGTCAAGAATGTCTCGCCATCAGTTTGAACATGCAGAATTATGGCCCTCCAACAGCTGAACGCAAGACGATTGTCCAAAAATGGCAAGCTGCCCAGCGGCGGGCACAGCAGCGCTCCATGGATAGAATTCCCGTGGCCCCTGGCGACTTCAAAATTCATTGCGAATCCGCAGTGCAAGTTCATCGCCCTGGGCCCCTTTCAATTTCCCACCCGTGGCGGGCACGCATTTCAGCAGTCCAGTAGGAGGCGGCACGTTGCACACATGACGGAGATCACCTCTGGAGAACCGACGCGATACGATCCCAGTACAGCTACCAAGACGCGCATTGGCCGCGTCTTCTGCAGCCTTCCTGCTTATGCGTTTCCCGACCTCCAGCTTCAGCTTCGCATTCAGACTGACGCCACTACGGTCATTGACCGTCGACTCTGCGACCATGCCATCTTAGCGTCGCACGTGGACGTTGCGACCCCACGCAAGGAGAACACGCACCTCATTCCTGAGTTCCTCTCCACGCCCCCCCTGCACGCCAAGTTCTTCAACCTTCTTTCC